TCGGTGCACAGACAAAAGACTGTTGAAAATATAATAAAAACTACAATAAATTGGTTTGCACTGCAACTCTTTCTATATAATTTTTGTCTTTTGAATATTTATTCAAATTGTACTGTATCCACTTTATCGATGTTCGATTTTGTTCTGGCAAACAGAAGAACAACATAGAATGAGATGGTCGTTTATCTTAATTCGGTTTTTGTTTAGTCGCAATTTGATCGCACTCAGTCAGGTGTAATGTAAATTTCATCATTTCTCCTTCTCCTTCCCCGTTCAGACGCGCTCAACGCTCAATATTTTAACTCAAATCTGAAAACAAAACACATACAGGGAGGGAAGAAAAAGAAAACAAAGAAAAACACATATTAAATTAAAATATAACAACAAAATCCAACACGTATTTCTTAGAACTAAGATTTCTACATCTCCCTGATTTCATTCCATTTGGATTTTATTCAATGTTCGTTCAATTTCAAATTCAGAAGAAAAAAACGTCTAATTCTCTCGCTATGGTTCAATTTTGCAGTTTAAACAAAAATGGCAGAGTAAAACAAAAAATTTTAGAGAAAATGGCAAATAAACATTGGAAATTGCGGATTTGAGACACTTTCTCATGTCCCACACAATTATACACAACAAATTCTTGCGGAAATGAATAATAACATCATCGAAATCGAATTGAATCGATATTAAACGTGGCATGAATACCGAAAATTCAATCAATGCAATACGCGAGAAGAAAAACAAACAGCAAAATGCTTTTCTTTCGGAGGCAAGTACATCTCAGTTTGAGTTTGTCTTTTTGGTTTGAACTGGGTGCATATTGCTATCACTATTTTCACCGGCGTCGGTTTCTAAATCGAAATTGTTCACGTACAGTGTCAGCATGTGGCAGAAATGCTCGTCGCTCATTTGGCGTCTTTTCGGGTTCAATGTGGTTGCTGAAATTTCAAATAAGATGTCAATTAAATTTCTTTGCTGTGGGACCTGAAACAACAAACAAAACAAACAAAAAATCACCATCGTACCTGCGTACGAAAAAATTCGTTCACAATCCGCTTCACTAGTCATTAAGCCGTTGTATTTCAAGAACACTTTTTTTATATTGGGATGTTTTTCTAAAGATTTCAAATCTTGTGTCAACGGTTCCCGCAAATAGCTCTTTATCTCCAACATAAACATATCGGCTTTGCCACACTCCGCATCCAATAGTTTCGATATGTCAATTTCGGCCACTGAATCTGAATTTCAAATTGCAAAAAATGACAGAAAAAATAGAGAAAAAATCAATATAAATGGCAAAAACAAAAGAAGATAAAATCAGTCCCACCGTGGAAAACAGAATTGGCATTTGAATTGTTTGCTGTGGCATCGGTTGGTTCAACGATAGCAGTGGTTCCGACTTGCAATAAAATCGATTCGATGCGCTCCCTTTCCTTTACGCTTTCCTCCTCCTGGTCGATGGCTTCGATTGCTTTTAGCAATATTCCCATGCATTTGTGGAGATAATGTGATGCTGACGAGTTTTCACGTATCTCACGAATGTAATTCATTTTGAATGATGGGTGTGATAACATGGCCAAGTATAGTGGAACAGACAGTGGCTTATTCATGTCCATGTGATCCTTAAACCTGGCGAAAAAACCATCTCGAACAGCCAACAAGAGTGGCTTACAGAATTTCAGTCTCACCGAAGAAACGATGTGCTCGATTTCTGCTCGTATGTTGAACAGACTTATCAAGTTATAGCCAAAATACCGGTTTCCTTCGAGTGTACTCAGTCCACGTGCAATCGGTTTCAAAACGATCAAAAATTCTTGTAGAAACTGCCGCTCAGTTGGATCGAGAATTGCGATTTTCAGATGACAAAATAACGCATCCAATTTCGCCTGATCGATGTTAAGAATCTCGTGAATCTGCGCGGTGAAAATTGAACATCAAAAAAATTATTACCAAATGATAACTTTCTCCCAACTTGAACCACTGATTCAGAATCGGTGATATGATGGAAAAACAGACGAAAACTAAGTAAAACAGATAGAAAAACACTAGATTTTACTTACGCTGTCATACAACGAATTCCAGCGGATTTTGTGCGGCCTAATGATAGTTTTGCCGATATACCACTTTATATCGTCACTGCTTTTTCGGTATCCACAAAATTTCCATAACAAATTCAACTTTGAAATGGATTGACAATAAATTTGCGCATACGATCGATCAGAGAGTGCTTTCGTTGCATCGGTTTTTCCAACCAAGTTTAATGAATGGGCGGCACATTTGATTCTGATTGGAAGTAATGAATTTACATCATCTGGATCGAACAAATCGGCGTTGGTTGCGTCATGAAACTGGTGATAATGAATGTTGACTTGGTGCAACCGAAAATTGTCACTACCAACCGATTGCTCAACCGACTGACCAAACTGGTTGGCAAGCCCATCCATAGAGAATGATGATGATTCATCAATTGTTTCGATTATAATTGGCGGTAGCGTTTCATCAGGCTCAATCATTGAAATGGCAATCGGGTCATATCCACAAGCAAAATCATCATCGTCACTACTTATGATGTGTGCGTCTGCATCGTTTCGTAGCTGTTCAGCTTCAAATGTTGCATTACTTGCGTCGACCTCGTCCCGATGATCCAGATATGACTGGTAACTATGGTAATTGTCGCCAAATCGGCTGAATGCCAACACGAACTCGGAGGCATTGTCAGTCGTTACGCCAGTGACTTTACCAAAAATCCCAAAACGCTTGAAAATTTCTTTGAGTTTTTGTGCAACAGCGACATTTGTGTGGCTGCCATTGAATCGTTCAATTGCGATTAAGAAACTTTTCGATTTGTATGTACGTGGATCAATGAATGATACGTTAACCGCAATGTACGCGCGATTTTTACACGTCCAAACATCACACGTGGCAGCTAAATATGAAACATTTCTAAGTTGCCTTTTCACATCGGAAATGTGTGCTTCGTAGATTGCCTAAACGAATGACCAGAAGAACAAAAAATTATTGAATGTTTAAAAAATTCTAAATTTCAACTCCTCAAACCACACTACCTTTACGCGATGACCAGCCGCACGACGACTAAACAATGCTCTACTGTCCCGCAAAGCCTTTTTCTTCGGAATGCTGCTTCTGGCGCCATCAGCTATCCCAGAACACTCTGAAATGAGTCGAAAAGAAAAATGTCAAATCTTTCCATCTTTCCATTTTCAATTTTTCAAACCGATTTACTCAATTATTTACCCACTGAATCTAAATACAAAAATCACAGAAAAGAGAGAGAGGTTGAGAAAAAAATAAACAACTCACTCAGAATTAATCGCTTAAAATGTGGACTCTCTATTTTGTGCAGCGGCAAATTTTCCTTTAGCAAGAACCGAATCATTTCATCACGAAGAGTTGCATGAGAGATTGTTTTGCGTTGAGACGGAAATTCGCCCGATATGCTGGCTACGAATTGAGCCATAGATGTGTCGTAAATCATTTTGTGTGCCTAAATGAATGTGTGTGAATGATGAGAAAGATATATTATATATATTGAAGACAAAATGCAATTCGAAACAAAAATTCCGAATCAACACGTGCCGATTTTGCGTGCCGGATCAAATTTGAATTGTTCCCAAATGTAGTTACCATTGCCTTTTTATCCAACGGGCAACATTTACATTTCACGAGACAGCGACTTTTATCTGACGTCACAGCGACCACTTGAAACATTTTTGATTTGATCAGCATACTCGTAGTGCTGCACGGCTTTGCAGGCCACGGTAAATTAAAAATCTCGATGCCATTTTCGTCAATCGTGTTAACTGGAATAAATGAAATGTTTTCCATCAAATTTGCATCATCGTCAGGATCGTTCTCGTCATTCATTCCGACATAGCCTTCGTTGAAATTGAAGCCATCGACCATTTCCATTGGGAGAAAACCGCTGTGCGTGCCTTGTACACTGTCCGGACTCAATCGCATTGCTTTTTTTGCCAACGACGACGACGATATTTCGGTAGCTGTTCTCTTTCGATTTGTGAGCACATCTCGCGAACGTGGCCCATCGGCAATATACAAGAATTGACTTTTATTCGACGATGCAGCGCTTTCTTCAGTTTCAGTGTCTTCATCTGAATCAATTGCATTGACATCGACAGTGTTTTTTGATTTGAACAACAAATTTTTGACCACTTTTTGAGGCACTTCGAAGCCAAAATCGTAGTTTGCCAAATGACCGTATTCTTCTTGGTTTTTCTGTTTTGCTTTGTTCAATTTAAGAAAAAATTCACCGGGCTCCGATCCAGTTGTTTTTTTTTTGGGGGGGGGTTTTGTTGGTGGCGGTGGCAGTGACAGTCGAACTTTTTTCCTTCGTTCCTTTTATTTCCTTTCTACCATTGACCTTGCCGTTGCCAGTATTTTTCACATTTCTCAATGACATTTTTGTTCAATTTCAACTGTTTTCAATTATTATTACTCCAAACAAAACCGAAACGACGAAATGAACACTAAAAAGTAAGTGGAAAAGAAACGATTCATAGAAATGTCCGCCTGACGTTGTCGTTGTCGCCGCTGTTACTGTTTGTTTACGAACAGTGTGTGTTGCTTACACACAAATTTTTTTCCACGACACAAACGACGCAATAAGTTTGCCGATGCCGTATATTGCTTGTCGATGCCGGTTAGCACACAATGGATAACGGAATGAATGCTGTTCGCTGTAAACTCTGCATAAGCACCAACACAGAGAGAAAGAGAGGGAGAGAGAGAAAGAGCGAGAGAAACAAAATGCGCATCGCGAATCAACACAGTGCAAAGCACCACAAGCAAAAAGGATGCGCGAACGAATGAAAATATTGTTTTTATTATTTATGTCCACTATGTGTGTTGTTCCGATTCATCTTATTTTGCAATGCACGAAATGCAAATAAAAAACACGATACAGACAAAGAATGAAAAAGTTGCTCAAATAATGATACCAACCATTTTCGTTAGATGGCAGCCACAGTCACATTCACACTCATGTTCATTTGCTTTGTTGTGACCGAATGTATCAATTTCGTTGCAGAATTCAGATGAATTATACATTACATGAATTGTTAGATTAAATTCGTTTCATCGGTATACGCATAGAACATCAATTTTTTTTTCACAAAATCGAACATCGATACAGTGGATACAGTACAATTTGAATAAATATTCAAAAGACAAAAAAATATATAGAAAGAGTTGCAGTGCAAACCATTTCATTGTAGTTTTTATTATATTTTCAACAGTCTTTTGTCTGTGCACCGA